AAACGCAGCCCGCGAAGCCGGTGGAGCCTTGGGCAGGAGAGCAGGGGATCTCCCGCCAGAGCTGGTCCCAGCGTGGTGGCCACGGGGTGACGCCAGGGAGGATGCTCTATGGGGACAGGCGAGTCCCTTGCCTGCAGTGAGCCCCTTGGCAGGAGCTCTGGGATCCCTACTGACGCTCTGTTCCCATATAGCTGCAACCTCACCCCCTAGCTCTCGGGAGAAGACCTGGTGTTATGCCCTGGGGACTGCCACCTTCCTCCCCGACGGCGTTTGATGACGAGACACGTGGGGTCATCCCCGGGGACCATCCTCACCTGCCTGATGGAGGTCTGCCCCGGCACCGGCTCTGCCAGGACAGGTTTGCTATCCCTCATCCTCGTGGCCACGTTGAGCAGCCCCTCGCTGCAGAAATCCCTGCCCACAGCGTACAGAGACCACGAGGGTCCCCAGGAGGGCACGGGCCTGATCCAGTGCGGGGAATACAGCAACCAGCTGCTGCCCAACGGCCGCTGTAAGATCGTGGCCACGCTGCCGCAGGGCGATGAGCAGCGGTGCCCGGACATGTTTCGTTGCACTGATGAGGTGTCCTACTGGCTCCACGAGAATGAAGAGCGCAAGCAGCAGGTCCTGGAACTGCGGGAGCTGATCTCGGAGCTGCAGGAGGAGCTGAGGAACCACCGGCACCGCATCAAAGTCCTCGAGCTCCAGGTAAAGGGCTGCCCTTCGCAGACCCCCTCCACGCACGTGTCCGCAGTCCCCTCCCGCGGTCCCTTCCAGCTCCCAGCAGTTGCAGGGGGACGACACCCGGTAAAGCATATGGTTTTGTTCTGATCATTGGCTGGGGTATCCATTAAACCCCAGCTGCTCCTACTGTGATGGCTCAGGAGCCTTCCAGGGCTGATCTTTCTTAATATTAGCCACAAACCCTTTGGTGTTTTAGCTGTGCTCTCTCCTCCACCTTCAAGCCTGCCTAGGAGGGGTTGCTGATCCATCCCATTGCCCATAGCTGGAACTCAGACTAGACCTGGAGTTCTGGGTGGCCGGTGAAGGACCACATCTCTGATGGCCATGGCTGAGCAGAAGACCTGACCTCCAGCCCCCGGCACCCTTCCTCCAGTCTCCTTTCTGGTGCTCATTCCACCCCAGCTCCATTCACTGGCCCCACAGCCTGAAGCTTCACACTAATACATTTTTTTCCAACCTTGTTTGGCACCTCCGAAGCTCTCAGATGTTTGGCATTGCCCCGTGGTTTTGCCAGGCAAACATTTGGCTTGGCTGTCAGCAGTGGCGAGCTGCAGCTTGCACAGGGTTGTAGCCAGGGACAGGGAGGGAGCAGGGTGTGTTTTGGCTGGCCGTAGGAATTGTTTCCCAGCTGAGGTGTCTCACTGGGCTGTTGATGAGATGTGCAGAAGAACCAGCAGCAAAGTACTGGTGTCAGCTGGAAGAGCCCCAAAACTGCCGGGTGAATAGCACCCTTGTCTTTGCTCTTGGAGATGAGGTCTGATACGGTCTGGCTCTGGGGCTGATTTATTCTCTATTTAGCTTCCTTTCATCCTCGCCCTCGAGCTCCTTGTTTGGAAAGCCTCCTTCTAGCAGCCCCACGGGGCGCGCGAGGCCGTGCCGGCAGGATGAGTGCTCGTGCTCAGGTAGACCCACTCGGTGCCCCCCACCCAGGGTCCCTCCTCCTGTGTAAGCCCCTGTCCCCCATCCTGCCTCCTCATCTGCTTTCCACTGCTCCTCTCCCATTTTCTCCTTGCACTTGCACTGGGACAAGCTGGTGCAATAGGTCTTCGGTCTCCCGACTTCCCGCATCCATCCCCTCATGACATTTTGTCCCTTAGGACCGTTTAATCTGTCCTTCCCCAATCCCAGCTCCCTGTGCTGCCCCCCGAAACACTTCTGTGTTACCTGGAGCTGCAGTTCTTTCACTGACCTCTCCAGCTCAGAGCCAAGGAGGGAGATGGATAGTAATGCACTAAATATCTTTCCTGCAGTGTTCATGCTCTTAATCCATTCTTCATTTCCAGGCTCTGAAATGACCCATCTAAAGGCAAGGTGCTTGGTCTATGGCAGTTGTGCAGGGTCTCTTCGGGGTCAGAGGGAAGAGGGAGGAGAACCAACCTCCCTCCGGAGATGCTGGTTGCCTGG